ATTAGCGAAGGAAGAGTCACTTGCTACGATTAGCTAATCGCCTCCTCCTAGTTAGAGGGTAAAGAAGCGTATATAATAGAGATATCTTAGTACTTAGTTAGCCGCTGCGTAGTGGTCTAGGCCTAGGTTATAATTGAATTAGGAAAGTCTCGAGACTATAAATATAATATCTAGTTATAACGTAATAGCTATATAGAGTAGCGAACTAATCTTCTTCTAGTAGAGGCGCGTTACGTATAGGTCTACAATATCCTTATATAGAAGCAGTTCTACCGTCGTTATAGGCGTTCTAGGTATAGCTTACGAGTCCGTAAGCTTCGCGATCTTCTCGATGTAGGATATCTAGCTAAGCTAGACAAGCTTCTTTGCTCTCTCTTAGTAGATCTCGATGTCTAAGAACTACTATAGCTCGTCGCTACTAGTAAGCTTGTATTTCTCTCGGAGCCTATAGACGATCTTATCTACTTTCTCTTGCTTGTTCTTACGGTAGGCGATAACAATATTGTCGACGTAGAAGAAGACGATAATGTCGCCGTTTATTATTACGTATAGTTCGCGTAGTATCGAAACGAATCCTAGACTTCTTAGAGTGTTAGTTAGCTCGTATTGCTATAGAAGAGGGGATTTTCTTAGCTTATATAGAGCTTTGTTTAGTTTTAGAATGTTCCTGCCTTTATAGTAGCCCTAGGGTATCTATATATATACGAGTTCGTCGAGGAACGCGTTTACGAATGTGTTAACCGCGTCGAATTGAATTAACTCGAGATCGAATCTTGCTATAATAGCGAGTACTGTTCGGAGTAACTAGATCGTAAGGGTCGCGGCGTAATTCTCTTCTACTACGCCCTTCTATTGTTAATCGCTACGGACTACAAGCCGTACCTTGTACTTGTCGAGGAAGCTGTCTTAGCTAAACTTATAGACGTAAACCTATATATAGTCTAGAATCTGCTATATACCCGTTTAATAGTAGGAAATCTTATCCTATAACTACTTAATGTTATAGCTAGCTAAATGGTCCCTCTCTACTTATAGGAAAAGGGCTTCTAGCGGGTAGTTCTGGAGATTATAATGCTACTTTAGCTAGGGGGGAAGGATGTTACGATATAGGCGTTTAATACTATCTTTCTTCTTTATTAGCTATATAACGCGTTTCTTTGTAATAGTTCCCTATAGTGTCTCCTCTTCCTCTGTTGTTTTTCCTTTCTTAGGCTTAATTAATAGGGTCGTTATCTTTCGCTAGAGTCGGTTGATTGTAGCTCTAGTAATAGGCTTGTCTCTTAGCGTGCCGACTATAGTCAATAGTGTACCCGCGTAGAAAGCTACGTACTATAGTTCGAATGCCGCTGCGATTTCTATAGTATTGTCGGCTTTTATACTAGTAATTAGCGTAGTTAATAGAGTAGCGGGAGGTGTTGTAGAAGGTGTTTAGTAGAACTTAGGGAAATCGCTAGAGGCGTTGCCTTTAACTACAATAGTATCTAAGATTTCTTCCTCTACTTCTTCTTCTTCTAATACGTTATCGGTTAGGTAGAAGGCAATGTCCTTATCTTCTTCGTTCTTATCTTTAGGTTCTTATTTATCTAGTTTAGTAGTGAACCGGGGCAGACAGTTCTTGGCCAGAACAGGGGTACGCGCGTAGTGGATTTTTCGTTTTTTGACTGCCTGCAGCGCGACGCGTTGTTTTACAGTCACATATATAGCCAGTGAGAGCACCTACTTAGGGACGAAACAACACTCTTAGGACATCAAAATCCCCCCCTAAATTTGATACTTTTGGCTCCAAGCCTTCTCTTGCCTCTGGGCACATGTTCTGTAGTGACAAATTGTTCGCCTTCCTCTGAACAGGGGGAGACATGTGTCCGGAGGGCGATATCTTGATCGGATCGGTTACAATTGAAGTCCGAAGATACGTCGGTAACCTTGGACGCTTGCCGACTTGTCCATCCCCACTATAGTCTTGCCTACTACTATGGAGTAGGTTAGTTTATAGTTTGCTCCAGTTTAAATAGGGGCTTAATCGGGGAGAAGCTCTACTTTGTGTCCAAACTAGACTCAAAGATCCGAGCACTACTCTCACATATATAGGAACACAACACCTACCGCTAAGACATCACAGAATCAGAAGCGCAAGAGGTCCTTGCATCGTCAGCACGCGCCATCCGACAGACAACGAACCCTCCTCACCGCCTGTTCAGATAGCGGCGGTTATTACGGCCTCGCCGTCGAACCGGAGGGCTCCCGCGTTTAGCTATATAGGTTCCCTTGTGATTTGCTTACCTATACTAGGGATATATAACACATTAGGAAATAAGATCTCCCTAGACGCGAGACTCCCCCTATTGCTACAAGCGCCTAGGCTTCGTAGGAACAGGGGGTTACAACATCGGTCTTCACCGCCACAGCCATTATCAGGGCAGGTACACCTGGACATACGCCAGGGCTTCATCGGAACAAGGGTAAGGGTCATCAGCAACCTGCTCAGACATACCAGGAATATACGACACTATCAGAAAATAAGATCTTGGCCTCTATAGGTGCCGGACTCCCCCTGTTTGCTACAAGCGCCTAGGCTTCGTAGGAACAGGGGGTCACTAATATTGATTTAACATGGTTTATTAGAACATTTGCCTTCACCGCTATAGCCATTATCAGGGCGGGCGTATTTAGAAGCAGTCTAGACGTAAGTAAGGGTAGCCGATAGGATCGGGGCTACCTACCTTAGCGTTCGGATAGCGCACTCGAAAGGAATCAGAGCCTAGAAGATAGCTAGGGCTTTATCCGAACATAGGGGGAAGAAAGTCAGTTCATTACCCTAGACACATCCGCTCATACAATCAGAAAAACAGCACGAAGAACCAATATCTAGCAAACGCTCGAGAAATCTCAAAAAGCCTCTGACATTACTATCTGCCCCTTCGTCATCATCTTTTCCAACCTCTCTATACCCTGATATATCCTTAGACACCTCAGCCAGCCTTACGCCTCCGTCAGAACACACAGAGACCATCGTCGAACCTCTGCTCAAGATAGCTACCAGAAGATACG